CCTTACAGAGGACACTGTAATAAATGGAGGTTGAGGATCACAGAACACATTCTTCCAATAGAGTGTTAACAACACTCTGGAGAGCTATAAATCTAAAATGTTTATGCTGGTATACTACAATAATTAAGATAATGAGCTGGGAAATCCATGTTTGAAATCTAATCCTTGGCATACACTCCCCCCAAAACCCTTTAATAATATAACTTTCAAATTGTTACAATAAATTGTAGCCTTTCTCACAGAGTTTTCCTTTGAATTACTAAGGTAATATATTTGACTATTAAAATAAACAGTTTAGCCCAGAGGTCTTCAAACGTGGCCCTTTTATGACTTGTGGACTTCAACTCCCAGAATTCCTCAGCCAGGCACGCTGGCTGAGGAATTCTGGGAGTTGAAGTCCACAAGTCATGAAAGGGCCAAGTTCAAAGACCCCTGGTTTAGCCCTATATTTGTTATTCCTGTGTAACTATTAGGACTGTTAATTTAATAGTTTAACGGTTCTTGCTCCCAAAGTAGATTTATAATTGTAAGCATTTTTATTTTGCTTATGCTTAACTTGTAATGTTCTGAACTTTCTTTATGTACTAGAAAAACAAAATGTATCCCAGGGAATGGAACCGTGATGCGCAATATAGGGGTAGAGTTCGCATTCAGCTGAAGCAGGAAGATGGTAATCTATGTCAGCCTGAGTTTCCAACACGTGAGTGTTATAAATATGCACAAGGCTGGTTTGTTCCTTTTGTTCATTTATAGATGGAAGCCAAAGCTGCATATTATGGAGCGCAAATGGTGGATAATTTTTGGTTACCCTCTGCTTGATGAATTACTTTCTTGTTCTTTTCTCTCTGTTTAGGTAAGGCAGTGATGTTATATGCAGCAGAAACAATTCCCAAACTGAAAACAAGGACACAGAAAATGGGAAGCAGTGACCCAAGTCTACAGCAAGGAGAAGGAGGCAAAAAAAACAAAGGAAAAAAGAAGAAATGAATGTGACATGGACTAATATATATTCAAATGAGTATGGTTACAGAAGAATAATGATTTCAAATGACGGACAGACCAATGAGAACATGCAAAGCTATTTTGTGGTAGTTTTTGAATTAGAATGAATTTCATTTTGCATAAAATTATGGTTGAACTATTTGGGAACATAACCAGAAAATCCTCTTCTAATATTTAAAAAATATGGAAAAATAATGTTTTAGTGTATTGAACTGTATGTACAAATGAATGCAAAGCTGTTTGTTTTTGCCTTGGATACATTTTCACTTGATAACTTTACAATGAAATACATTTGTCACTGTGATGTTGGGCTTCTCTTTATTACAATAAACATATGTTTGGATTAAACTGTTTAGAATGTTTTAATTGCTAAGTAGTGCTTCCAGTTATATTATTTTTTGATGGAAATCAATAAACTGTCATGCCTGGGAGAGTTACGACAGCTGTATTTCATGGGCAATTGCAGGGAAAGTACTCATAAATTGTACTCTGTTTATATCAATATATTTTCTGTAGATGTCCAAAGGAATAATTTAAATTTAAATTTCATAATTGAACTTTTTTTTTAGTGCCAAAATACCTAAGAATGTCTAAATGTAGTTTTAAAAAGAAAACATTGGTAACAATAGTTGAAAGTCCATGGACCCAGGGTTGGTCCAGCATTGTATGTATGATAACTATATATTTTTTTTAATTTTCTGGGTTCTGTTTAGTTTAAATAAACTATATTTAAACTATATTAAATATAGTTTAAATCAATTATAACATTGCTCAAGATAATCAGCATTTCTAAACTGAAACAGAAAGATGTACCATCAATGTTTCATGTAGTTAATATAAATAATCAGTAACATATGGAAAAATACAAGAAGGACAAATTTCTAACTACAATGACTATATAGTGGAAATTGATAGAATCTGATAGCAATATTGCTTTCTTCATGTGAAAAGTAGTGACTTATCTTTCACCAAACTCAAAAACTGTAAAATCATACATTTTTGGCTTTAGCACTTCCTCAGATTTAGTTTAGTGGGATGAAAGACTTATTTCTACTATAGTTTATAACTCTGAAGGTATTTGCATCAGCAATTAATGAACCAAGGACACTCACTTTTGTGGTGCTGACTTTAATTTTAATTTACGTCATGCTCTACATCTTTCTGTATCAACTTCAGCTGTTCAATAATATTGCCTTACACTAAAGTTATTCCAATGGCATAAAATTACAAAAAGCAATAAAAGGTCAAATATACAAGCCTGTTCTCTAGGCAATATGTCGATGTTTTCTCAGTCCCATGCAAATTAACTCTATTAGTGCATTTTCAAATGGGAAACTTCCCACCTGGCTTGGTTTGACTTGCACACTTCTATTATACTATCTTTATTTTCCAGCTGATTACAAGTATGTGGATTTTTCCAGAAAGAATTTAATAGAAAAGTATATGTAGCAAAAATAGTTTTTGGCAACAATACAGTATGCATATTATTGGTGTCAGTGACATATATTATCTCATTTTGCATGGAACATAATCATACATAGATTACATTTCGCGTGCTTCTTTATACTAATGGGATTTAGGTTACAGTAAGATGCCGTGGTGCCCAGCTAGGGGGCAGCACCTAGCTGCTCAGCTTAAAGGCGAGCAGAATTAGGCCCGGTTAGGATGATAATCAGGAATCTAGGAGTTGCAATTTAGATTGGGAAAAATATCTACAAAGTGACATCAGCAAACCACTTCTATATTGTTGCCAAGAAAATTATATGCCTATTTCTATGAAGGCAACTGGAAGTTGAGTTTGAATCAAAAGAAAAAAGATTGTCTACTAGGACCTCGGAGTCCTAGTGGACAATCACTTAAATATGAGCCAGCAGTGTGCTGCAGCTGCCAAAACGGCCAACACAGTGCTGGGCTGCATTAACAGATAGAATCAAGATCACGTGAAGTATTAATACCACTTTACAATGCCTTGGTAAGGCCACACTTGGAATACTGCATCCAGTTTTGGTCACCACGATGTAAAAAAGAAGTTGAGACTCTAGAAAGAGTACAGAGAAGAGCAACAAAGATGATTAGGGGACTGGAGGCTAAAGCAGATAAGGAAAGGCTGCTGGAATTGGGTATGTCTAGTTTAACAAAGAGAAGGACAAGGGGGGACATGATAGCAGTGTTCCAATATCTCAGGGGCTGCCACAAAGAAGAGGGAGTGAAGCTATTTTCCAAGGTGCCTGAAGGCAGAAGAAGAAGAAAAGGATGGAAACTAATCAAGGAGAGAAGCAACCTAGAACTAAGGAGAAACTTCCTGACAGTTAGAACAATTAACCAGTGGAACAACCTGCCTCCAGAAGTGGTGAATGCTCCAACACTGGAAGTTTTTAAGAAGAGACTGGACAGCCATTTGTCTGAAATGGTATAGGGTTTCCTGCCTGAGCAGGGGGTTGGACTAGATG